TTGATAAAACATAGTACGCATTCTTTATAACACTCAAAAATAGAAAAAAAATGAATGTTCATATAACTTGTGAAATAAACCTATCTTAGCCTCAGGGGCAGCACCTTGACATTTGAAGGCATTTCCACTAAAGTTAGACACTAGACAAAGATATATACTCTTATTATTTAACATTATTTTGAGTGTCCTGTTCAATGCAAAGACAAAAGAAGGAAATCGGGAGTATAAAAGTTCAAAATAAGGAGGTAAAACTATCGGTTTGTAGATGATTATATAACTATATTTTATTAAGTGTTGTATATACATAAAAGAATCATTTAAATGCAGGCAAGAGAATTTAGTAAGGTAGTAGGATTCAAAATTACCATACAGACATCAACAGATAAATCAAAGAAATAACCCCAATTATAATGTTAGTAAAAAGGATAAAATATCTAAAATAAAAAGAAATGTTGGGGACAACTTTAAACACTTAGAACACAAAAGTAGACTTGAACAAATGGAAATTAACACCATGTTCTTAGCTAGACTCAACATCATACAAAGTATTAATTTTCCTTAAATCGATATGTAAATTAACTTTAGTCCTCATGAAAACATCATCAGATATTTTTAGAGTCAGATTCAGAAATTTATATAAAAAAGGAAATAAACAAGAAGAGCCAAGGAAATACTGAAAAGCTATGCAATGATGGAGAGAGAGAGAGAGGAGAAACTTAGCCCCACTAGAACTTAAAATATATTTAAAATACTTTTTTTAAAGACTTGGTAATTAAATGAATGTGGTAATGATGAGTGAATAGATAGATCAATGGATCTATCCAAATAAACCTATTCTTGCTAAGAATCTGCTTCCTGAGAACCCAAAGTGTAACAGTAAACCCAAATCAGTTATTTCAGTGGCTGGGTGAGGCTGGAAATGTGGTGAATGGAGATAAAATTGGGAAGGAGACTTTTAACTCTATGCCTTTTTATAATTTTAAAAAAAATTGGAGCCACATGTATGTATTATTTAAATCATAAATTAAAACATTTCAGGTTCACTTTATATGCCAGTGATATTTTATGCTTTTCCACGTGTATTTTTTGAAAACGTCTTTTATGTTTCAGTTTAGAAGATATTTTTAATCCAAAATACTATGCCCCACCTCACTCTAAATATGCTTTTCTTTTCTGTTTTTGTTTAAGACCCACAGAGGCACACCTCCTGATCTCACCTTACAATGGAAATGAAGAAGTCACCTGATGGCGGATGGGGCTGGGTGATCGTGCTTGTCTCCTTCTTCACTCAGTTTCTGTGCTATGGATCCCCGATAGCCGTTGGAGTCTTGTACTTAGAATGGCTAGATGCCTTTGGTGAAGGGAAAGGAAAAACAGCCTGGGTCGGATCCCTCGCAAGTGGAGTCGGCTTGCTTGCAAGTAAGTGGGTCAATGTATGCTTCTCCTGACTCATTAGTCATTTAATTACGTTTGCTGCATCATTAACACTGTGCAAGGCAGAGTAGGCTATTTGTTTTTAAAATATAACATGTTTTTCTTGCCTTTCATTGAGATTATTTAACCACTCTTTCACTGTAATAAGCTTGTGTGAAAACACAGAAATTCCATAAGATATTCATTCATTCATGTCTTTATTCATTTATTGGCTACTGTGTGCCAGACAGTGTGCTAGATGCTGAATATGAAAAGATGAAGAGCAAACACATCATTCTGTCCTTAAGGGGCTCACAGTCTCGTGGGAGACACACTTCCATGAGTAAGAATGATACAGGGAAATGAGCGCAGTGATTCAGGAAATGATTCAGGCATGTCCACTGAATGCTGGTAGTCCTATTACATGTTTCATAATTATGCCTCTAATTCAGATACGCTGTGATCAAATCACATGTTCTACATTTGTATCACCTTTATAAGAAAAATTTTACATGGCAAAGGGCAGTCCCATCTCACAATGATGACGCTATTAAGGATTTTAATATAGTGTTTTTTAATAAGATATATGTGATATATTTTGTGTGACCTTCATATAATGTCTCCAAAAGTAATATTCTTGATAAACATTTATATCTGATATAATAGTGATTCCTATAATCTTTACAGAGAAAATAGCAGAGGGGCTTTTATTTTCATTTTAAGACTTAAAATCATATGGCACTTCAATTTCTGGTGTAATAGTTTAAACTCTGCGGTAATATTTAGTGATTATCACTCTAACTTGTTGGCAAACTTACAGGTGTGCTAAACTGGTGACGTAGATTGGATCATTAGCCCCGGGGTATCTTCCTGTGAACTTGACGTGATTTGTTGAGCAAATCACAATTTCTATTCTTACGGGGAAAATAAGGACATTTAACATAGAGATTTGTAAGGTACTTTTCAGCTCTAAAATAATTTGGAATGGAAATAAAATGCATTAGCCATTTCTTTTTTTAAAATGTTGTCTTTCCTAAATCATAAAGGGGACTTCTTAAAACAAAACAAAATGAAACAAAAACAGTTGCTCCCAACTGATGTTAAATTAAAACTAAGACTTGCTCCTAATGACTATGTACAGTGAGTGACTGGTTATTAGACTTGATGGTTATTAGACTTATTGTGATGATCACTTTGTAAGGTATAAAATGTTGAATCACCATGTTGTGTACTTCATACTAATATAATATTGCATGTCATTTAATAATTAAAAATAAAGTAAAACAATAAATACATCCAACTTAAGAAAAAACAAAAACAAGACTTGAAAAACAATGTTGGATCATCTGGCCATGTCGCATAAGATCACTAAACATAACCAAACAAATGAAAATTATACTGTCATTTTGAGCTCTTGATAAGCAGGAAAAGTTTGCCCTAGATTTGTTTGAAGGGTTTTTACCACCCTGAACATGCATGATCTTGTCTAACAGGGCATTTCAAAATGTGAATTTGTATTGTCTTACTGCGAGAGTCACAAGTGGATGATCTTTTATATGTCAAGATACATATCAAGTTTGAGACAGTGATCTGACGTGAGGGGGAGAGCTTTTTTTTAATGTTCTCCACCTAGGCTCCCTTTTTTATTTATC